TTTCAAAATCCGCACTTAAAGGAGACCTTGACACTCTTCGGACCAGTGTAAAGCAAATAGTTGAGATAATCGTGGGTTTGTTAAAAGATAGGATAAAAGCTACCAGCGAACCCGAGAGTAAAAAGCGACGTGTGCATGAAAAAATCCAAAAATAAATAGTATTTTTAACTGTTTATCATGTATCACACATCTGTACACCTATATATTTTATTGTAACAATAAAGCGAATTTTTTCCGAATTTATTTCATATATTATTTTTCTTATGTAATCAAAAATTTTCTTGGCAAAAGTGATCGGCGTTACAATTTGTAACGCGCACGTAGTTTTTATTTAGTAGCATATGCACAAGACACCCACGTGTAGTTATTCTGGAGAATCATAAATGATCTTATCGAGTAAACTTTTATAAATTTGAATATGTTGACTATTTGAAATTAATAGATTAACGCTTGTAATTCATAGATTTTCATTTTGAATCTCTTCACATTCCCATGCAGAAATCGAATCTGGCAGCCAAATCCAATCACGAATTCTTGGTACAATTACGCCATCGGCCGATTCAGATAACCTTAATTTATTAATTACTCTCGTTTGAATTTCGAGCTCGCTCTGAAAATTAAGTATGAATGTTATATTGAAGTTGTGCAATATCCAATGAATGTATTCAGCATGCCTACCACAAGAATATAAAGGAATTCAAAGACTGCTAAATAATCCGCCACATCAATGAATTCGAATGGGAGGGTTGCAGATTTGATCTGCGAAACTTTGTAAACATGCTTATTTATTAAGCATAATTTACTGAGCGTTAACCGGTCGCCTAACAAGTATTTCCATGTAAGATTTATGTTTTAAAATAGTTAAAGAATGACAAATAAATTACCGATGCCCTGAATTATGAACGTGTATAGCTGTTTCGATTCTTCCGCACTTTTGTCCAAATAATTTCGTAATAGGGAAACAAGACCAAATACGGCTTCTTTCAGAAGCTTTTCTGAATCTTCTTTTAATTTTTTTTGATCTTTGTTTTCAGGCCCACCCAATATTTCGATAAAAACGACCTCCTTGTTACTTGAATTCCGTACTCCAAGACCATCAGCTTGGTTTATAGGTAAATCAAACTTGGGGAATATCTTCTTCACTTCCCTCATACAATCCAATTCAACTTCGATCCAATGAAATTTGTATTCATTATATACCGATTGAATTGCTTTGAACAGGGGGGACGATCCTTTCGACAATATACGTACGCTCACCAATATCTCTTTTTAAAGGACCTTTCTTTGTCATGAAATAACTAATCGAATCATTATAAAATAACAAGCATATCAGTAATATTATGATGTCAAAAAAATATGGATTCATGAATAAAACAACACACATACAAATCATAAAGTATAAACTCGCAAATTTGACGAAAATCATGATCTTTTGGACTTGCTTCAGAGCTTAAAGGAGTCATGATAGCATTTACAAATTCCTCTTTCGGTGACTAGAGTAAAGAAATTTTAATATATACATTTTACTATCTAAAAAGAAATTAATGATAACTTACTGTTAATGCCATTATTAGCCAATTACGAATTATACTAGAGATTTCTTCCGAAGTATGATTGTCTTTTATGATCATTCCTTGATCATTTACATCTATTTTTATATGATTTTGTAGATAGGTAACGGATTCCTTAAAAAGCGCCGACTTTTGGGGAGTAACCTGCATATTATTGACATTAGGCCTTGGCGGTGGAGTCCCAGGGGTTTGGATGATAGGGTTTGTAACTGTTAAAGTCGATAATTGATATTGATTTACCGACGTTGGTAAATCTTGTGATATTATTACATTGTTTGGTATAGAATTTAGAGAACCGAGTGGTGGTAGTAGTGACAGTGGAAGCGAAGGAATAAGTAATGATGATAATGGCGGAAGTGATGCTACGTCACCTCCAGTCATCATAATTACAGGTGATGGATTATCTGTCTGAATTTGCGATGATTGATGAGTCAGTATTCAACGATAAAAAAATATTCTCCAAAGAAATCTCAATAAAATAAATCCAATGTACATACACTACTGCAATAATTTCTTCCATGTACTTTTGATTTTGGTTGTTTTCGTTCGCTTATCTTTTGCTAAATTATGTTTAAAGTCTTAATAATGGTTTATATTATCACTTTTTAACGTCATTTTTTACCTTTTTTTTCTGATCGTGGCCCGAATCAGAGGAAGTAGGACTGCTACTTGGTTCATACTAATAACAAACGTATTGCTTTGGTCATATAATATATTGCATATTAAATAATTTATCTGATATCAACTTACATCACTTTCAACATTAGATTCACTTTGTTTTCTTTTATATGACTCCTGCCGAAATTTACATAAAGGCCTTTTAATATTAATCCATATGTCATAATTTACACCGGTACTAATTACCTTCTCTTCATGATCCGATTCAGAAAGGTTAGTTTCATTCAAATTTTCATTGTAATCAACAGGCGAAATATTTCTCAGTTCCCTCGTAGAGCATTCTCCCTCCTAAAAGAAATCGCAAAAGGTAATGTGTTCATAATCAGAAAATACATATTTAAACTGTATGACTGAAGTGGAAAGATTAAAAGATATTTTTGTTAAATAAATTTAAGTTATATACTAACCTTATCTGCATGCTTCCGTTTTTGTTGTTTTCTTTTTAATACAAGATTGCTTTCAATAATGTGCTCGTCTAATACATTAGATTTTATTTGACAAGCTTCCTGATCCTAGATTATTCGAATAAGCAAGTAAATAATAATTATGATTTTGCTAAGTGTGCGGACAATTCATTTATACTAACCTCTTTTTCTTTCAATATACTTTCAACACGTCGGGTTTCGCTTCTCTCATTGCTGATACAAACACCATCCCAATAAGCATTCACTGAGTTAGAGTTGATAAGTTCGTTAAAATTACTAACAATTTCCGAGCCTTCGTATTATTTTCAGAAGCGACGGTCTTCAGTGCTTCGTATAAAACTCCCTCTGCTTGAGTCCTTTGAAAAAAAGGAAAATTTATTTTTTTATAAAATTGAACAACAGTAAAGTCTTCATCGAATATAATTTCTTTCAAAAGTTCAACGTAAGCCTGTGGATAATATATATATATTAATGTCCAATACGGTGATCAATAAATGTGATGATATTTAACACGAACCATAATGCCTATAAAAAATAAAATATAGTAAGTAAATCAAATAAATAACTTTGAGAAACGGTATTTATTTTTTAACCCGAAACTTTCTCCGGATAATTATAAGATTGCCACAGTATATAGCTGTTTCGCCAGCAACACCAGAGGAAGAAGTACCCCTCAGGATTTACAGGTCGGGGAAACACTGGATTTAAAGAACCAGAACCTAATAATATCCATTGAAAATCGCTATCTGGCCATTTCGCCAACAACACCAGAGGAAGAAGTACCCCTCAGGATTTACAGGCCGGGGAAACGCCGGGTTTGAAAGAAGCACAAAAAGTAAATCATACTCGACCTTTCAAATCATGGAAGACCGCCAATACGCGTGGAAAAAATATTCACGTATCTATTTTGGCAGTACGAAATTTCCATATTATTAACACATGACAGAACACCGTGACCAAGATGGTCACGAGCTAATAATCGATCGTCTTCCAAGTTCACCTTCTCGCATATAAGCCAGAAGAGTATATTACATTGTTTTCCAATTATCTCCTGAATCAATGAATCAACTTCTGGGCTTGCAAACTTATGACTACCCTTTCGTACAGATTTCCGAGAAATTTATTAACACTAAAAAAAGTAGGTAATATAAACTTTCAACCTTTCTAGAGTTCGAAAAAAAATAAGTTCAGATAACAGACAACCAACTGATACACATTAGGGGTTTGCACGCTTCATACAACTAATAACCATTTTTATTCTATCAGAATATTGATAACAAATGAAACTGGATCATAATTAATGTTGTAGTTTAGGTAATTTAGATATATGGAAAATTTATAGTGTAGGCATTAGTATTGTAACAATGGATAGATTTGATTCTTTTCAATTTTTATTACAATCAATAAAGCAAAGGCACGTTATCACAATTATTACCAATATTTTTTCGTGTGGTTAACCTTTTGAATATATCCTATTTTGTAATAAAACAATGTCGAACGATCAATTAACAATCAAT